TATTGGTAACGTAATGGTAACACTATGATTGCTACCTTAATAGGCAGCTACATGAAGTCAGCAATAGAAGGCCGCAAGTTGCCCTCTTTAAGGTAGCTACATGTAGGGCTGGTAATCGAGTTAGTCGACTCGAGCTCACGGGCAAAAAAAAAAAAGGGAAGGAGGTTTAAAGAAGTCGGCAGGCTCCTGCAGCCTTATTTTAAGGCAGCAACGTTAAGCCTTATTTAAAAATAAAAAATAAAAAAAATAGAACGAGCCTTGATTTTTTGGTGGAGCTTTTGCTCGGCTCGGCTCTAGCTCGCAAAAAAAAAAAAAAAAAAAAAAAAAAAAAAAATAAAATTTTGACCGAGCTTTTGCTTGGCTCTTGCTCACAAAAAAGCTCGGACCGTTTTACTCAAGTCAAGCTCGAGCCTCGAATTTTGACTCACAAGCTGGCTTGACTAGTTGACACCACCAGCTACATGCTACGTGTAGTTACCTTATATTAAATTGAAATTTCGTTAAAACAGATTTTTTTCTATAAATATGGGATAAATTTTATATTTATTTGTTTAAATATGTAATTTTTAAATTTGTTTGTTTTAAGAAAAATTTGTACATGAAATATTTTATTTTATTTTATTTGTATACAAAAAGAGAAGGGTTATAAGTTGTAATTTTTATCTAATTTATAATTCGTACAAATTGCACAATTTTTGGATTCTTTAAGAAAATATTAGATTTGTAATGATTTAAAAAAAATAAAAACATAAAAAAAAAGAGCCAAACCGGCTTATTTAAGGCCTTAGCCCCTAGATGAAAGCTCGAGTTGAGTCTAATTTTTTTTTGGCTGAAAAAAAACTCAACTAGACTTGAACCAAACAAAGCTCGACTCATTTTTGTTCAAGCCGAGCCCGAACTTCGGGTTTCGACTTGTAAGCCGACTCAATTTGACTCGTAGACATCCCTAAGTAATGTGGGACGAACTAAAAGCCCCCTCTCACCTCCAATGACTCAACCCTGTAAGAAGACTTTAAATGGAGAAAGAACTAGCACTTGTATATCATAACGAGTTGCTAACAATCTTGTCTGGAAACACTTCCTGAAGTTCTCACCTTAAGTTTAAACCGCCCAGGTACTCCGGTCATGTTGGCTTATTCATTAAAGAAAGAGAGAGACACTCTAAAAGATTATCAGTGGCAGAAAAGTGAGAAGTGAAGATTTGATCATCGTGTTTTATGTATTTAGGCAAATAGAACAAATCAATCCACATCCGGCCTGCGATGGTTAAAACTAATAATTCATTGGTTTTATAACATAATTTCATACCAACTCTTGTATTGAAACAAAACGAGCTGTTCCAACTAGATGCACCAATTGACCCTAATCCATACTTCTACACAAGATACAGTCAGCAAGAAACGATCTAAAGAAAACTTCGAACATAAGCAGCTAGTGAATTTGGTCAAATCACACACACACACATTAACGGACCTCAAGATGCTAACCTGCACTAGAGGATTCAAAATATTTTTCCTAATATACCCCTACATTGAAAAATGGTTTAGATAGTATATCTTATATTTGTTGCTAACGAAATTAATAGGGGCATGTTAGAAAATTAAGAAATCAACTATACTCTCAACAAGAAAAGCAACTTATAATTTGGAACAAATAGAAAAAGAAAGCAAACTTATTTTTATGGAACGGAGGGGTAAATAACGATGACAAGGCAACTGCATACATGTCTGCTTAGCATTACCAATTCGTACAAGTTGTTCACTCCCTTCACTAGTAAACAGAAATATGCTGAAGAAAACAAACAGCCTCCACACCATAGCATTCATTTCATAACAATTTTCAACCAAAATATACATATTAGACATACCACGTCTGCAACGGGAAAAATACTCAAAACCCCCTTTTTTTCACATCAGAGATGAACATTCTACAAGTAATGATCCAATGTATTGCGTCATCAGCCCTGGAATCATGAACAGGTAATAACATCAGAGTTTGATACATGCCAACTCTTCTCTTGACTAAATTTGGCAACAAAATTAAATAAGCATATGCATTAGCAAATGAACTAATGAAGTACAAAACATTCAAATTAGGACAATGCTACATGGATATAATTTTTTTTTACCTAATCGTTTACCCACTACTCACAATAGGGGGTGGGAACCACATTTCGAAATTTTAATATTCACGCGGGGCCCACGTGCGTTGTGAGAGGGGGGACAACTTTCGATACCCCCAATTTGGTACGAATAGAATTATTCTTCAAATTATAGCTCATTATCAACAGGTGGTAGATATACAATTTCAAATATTACCATTCATGCAGAGAGGAAGAAACTTATGTCCAATAATATCGCCATCAGGCTGAACTAGCACCACTTCAAAGCGATGAGACACATTTGTCCAGGCAAGAGACTAAAAATTGTTGGAGGAAATCGATTGAAATTTTTTATTCATCTGGAATTCCAAATTCTTTTTAAAAAAAATTGTGACCAAAGAAATGAAGATAGGATATGCATTTATTCTCAATTATTCCATTTGTCTGAAGTAACCAAAATATCAGTAACAAACTTTATCTGTAGGCGATTGTTATCATTTGTCTGCAAGTCGACAGCATCAATCAAAATCAAATGCCAAGGTGCAGTAAAAATTGAACATACCATCAATTCCGCCAAATGCAGAACATCAGTTGTATTTATTCTCTGTATCTTGACTTCTTATCCTCATCACTTCCACTGTCATATCTTCTTCTTCCAGAGCGCGCATCATCATATCTAGCTCTCTTGGAAGTGTATTCCTTCTCTCTCTCCTCCCTTCTACTTCCTCGCTCCTCTTCTTGCTCTCTTCCTCGTCCTTCCCCCCGATGACGCTCCCGGTCCTTTTCACGCTTCCTATATAACTCTTCCTCTTCGTCCCTTTCATGCTTTTTGCCGTGGTAAGCTTCTTCATCCCTCTTTTCTCTTCTACTTGATCCATTAACTTCATAGTGCCGATCATCAATTCTATTTCCATGGCGCAATTCGTTCCAAGTCCTACTTATATCCCTGCGATCACCACCATGTCCACTATATCTATCTAGCCTCGAGCCTCTACTATAATGCTCCTTATTCTTATATGATTTACTCTCTCTCTCCAATTCAATCATATCCCCATTGTGCTCAGACTCTTTTTCAGGATTCTGCCTTCTTAACTTCCCCTCAGGTTGGTCATATTTGTTCTCATCATCCATCTTCCTTTTGCCCTTCATTATCTCTTCACTTCCATCTCCTAACCTATCTCCCTTTGATTTATAAAGTTGCTCTAGTTTCCTCAATGTGTCCAATCCATCAGCTTGATTCTTTTGTTTCCCTCTATCATCAACCTCAAGTGCATGACCTTTCTCTCCACCATGTCCACCTCTGGCATCCAAATCATCACCTTGAGGGCTACTTTTCTTCTCAAAAGACTTCCTTTCAACCCTCGCATGCTTCAAGTCTCTCACCCTTCTGTTTTCAAGGAAATCATCACTCTTACGGTCATCAATGTCAGCATGGGAATCATGTCTTCTACTTCTTTCAGTCTTGCTCTCTAGCCTGGCATGGCCAGCTTTGATTTCATCCCTGTAAGTATCAAGTCGCCCATCACTATAATCAAGTTTCTCCTTTTTCTTTTTGGTTGCAAACTCAGAATCGCTTTCAGAATCATATCTTCGACCAACTTTGCCTCTCCTCTCACTACTTATTCTCTTCTTATCGCTGCGAAAAGAATCATCTTCCTCTGGGCTGTAATATCTCTGCTGATTTCTCCCTTTCTTGTATTGATTTCTCTTGTCTTCCTCCCCATCAGAATAAAATTCCTCATCATGACCAAGCTGTCTGCTCTTTGAGGTCTGCTTTCCTCTTTGACTCTTATATTTGGGGCCTTCATCAGAACTATATTCGTCATCAGAATCATGTCGCCTGCTCTTTGCAGGCAGCTTCGCCTTCTGACTCTGTTTATTAGTCCCTTTGTCTGAACCATATTCTTCATCAGAGTCATGTTGCCTGATCCTTGAATGCCGCTTCAACTTTTGAGTCTTCTCTTTAGGGTTCTCATCAGAACTATAATCATCAACAAAATCTCGTTGCCTGTTTTTAGAAGACAGCTTCGAACTTTGTGTTTTACGTATGGGACTTTCATCAGAACTGTGCCCATCATCAGAATCATTTCGCCTATGAGATTTCCTATAGTTACTATCACGGTTAGATTCTGAATCTGAATCAGTATCAGACTTGGACTGAGATTCAGAATCCAAGGAATCACTATCATATCTTATATTTTTCTTATGTTTTCTTAACGATTTTCCCTTTCTTGTCTTAGCATCAACATCAGAATCATCATCTTGCCCCTTACTACCTTTCTCCTGTTTCTTCTTAGTCCCCTTCATGTATTTCCCACTGCTATCAGAATCAGATGAATTCTGGTGTCCTCTTCTACTTTTCTTTTTCCTCTGGCGCTCTGACTCATATCTTTGAGAGAGATTATTCTTAACAACCTTCTGAAAATCATCCTCCTCAACTTCCGAATCTGTTTCGTTCAGCTTAGTATCAGCAGCAACAGCATCCTTTTTATGGCCATTTCTTGGTTTATCCTCATCATCATTTTCCTCAGAGATTGGGGACTGAGGATCACGGTGCTTCTTTTTTCCGTCAACTTCAACTCCTATGCCAAGAGCAGCTTTTAGAGTTTCCATCTGCCGTTCCTTCAAAGCAGCAATCTGATGAGTCTGTGTCTTCGAAACCCTGTTAGGGCCACACAAAATGTTAGTTCAAATAAATTAGCTATTGATAAAATTTGAATGCCATAAAAGCACCATTGCTCAACAAGCAATCGGTTCGGGTTAGTTACAAAGCACAGTGAAGCAATGAAACCTACCTAGAAGCTAAATCCATGATAACTAATTGCATTTATTACCATCCAAAGAAAATAGATTAGTAAATTCAGTTGTGGAAACATTTTAGCATAGAAAATTTTGTTCTGTTAAAGAAAAACTTAAAAGTACCAGGATAGGCAGTGTGGTGCAACAAAAATTACTTGTACAACTACTTTTGCAGCTAGGAAAAGCTGTGGTGACAGGCTTAAGAAGCATCTGTATTTCATTTGTGCTCCACTATGTTTATCCTGCTTTGGCATCATTATAATATATATTAAAGAATCCACTACTACTTATATCTGCAAGATAGCCATAATCTACAACACTTTACGTTGCCTTTTACAATTACCAACAAGCAAATCCTTGTTGCTAATATTTGGTCCCTGAACTTCTTTGTTGCTTCTCTTGACTTCTTTCTTTGATTTCTTCATCTTTTCAACAAATTTTATCTTCCACTTGATGATTTATACCATCAATTCTTATGCCCCTCATTCGGCATATCTTTTGAGTATTTGCGCTTTAGTCCTCCAACTTTCAATTGTCTTCATTTCAGTCCCTCTTCAATATTTTCTTCTTCCATTCATTTTGCTTTGTCATTGAACTCATACTTGGCATGTCTTCCCTCTCGTTTTTCGTTTAGCTCAACTTTTCAATATTTGCACCTTTGGTCCTCGAACTATCAAATTGTTGCGTTTTAGTCCTTCTTCGGCTCTTTTCTCCTGAATTCCACAATTTCCATTGAATTACCTACAATGCATAAATTTAACTGGATTAAGTCACAATTCAACCATTTTATCCATGTTTAAGTCATGTTTATGAATCCAAATAAGTGTGTAAAAACACACTTATTTGTTATTAAAGTCATGTGAATGTTTTGAACATTTAATAACTGATTTTTATAACAATAGACATGTTAAAAGTGATGACGAGGGTATGTTGATTGAACGTGATTGGCATTTAGCTTTGAAAGTTAAAATTTTTTTGACATCTTTTTATGAAACCACTAAGATTTTATCGGGCGTTTACTATCCCACCAGCTGTATGGTGCTTGAACGTCTTTATATAATTGCAAAAATATTTCATAAATACAGAAATGACCCTGATTTTAGTGAAATTATAATTGCTATGAAATTAAAATTTAGAAAATATTGGGAAGATTTGTTTATGTTATTTCCTTTAGCATGCATGATGGACCCCGATATAATTTATCAGGAACTAAATATATAATTGATCAAATTTCAAACGCCTTAACATTTGATACACCTATCACATATAGAAATTTAGAGCAAACATTATGTGAAATGTATGAATTATATACGAACCGAATGTGTACCAATATTATTCAGGTACCATCTGCACCTACTCCTTTCACTGAAATTGAAGAAGAAGATGGGAAAATATTTAATTTATTTCAAGGTATTAATTCGTATAGATTTGATTCATCTACAATGTGTTCATCTACTACCACTGCCACTGACATGTCATCACCATTTGTATTTCATTCTCATCATAAATCTACGGGCTCAAGCCATAATGTATTGCCTGCTGAATTAATTGATTATTTCAACCAAAATATGCCAACGATAAAACAATTAAAAAAAGTTCAGACGAAGTATTTGAATTTTGGCGAAGGTTTGAACGACGTTGGCCAGTTATATATGCGATTGCAAAATATCTGTTGACACCTCCGATTAGCACTGCTGCTTCGGAGTCTGCTTTTAGTACAGGTAAAAAAGTTTTGAGCGAGGTCAGGAGCCAACTGAAAGAAAATATTTTAGAATCATTAATGTGCGTTAAGGATTGGCAGGACGCTCATTTTCGACTATAAGATAAATATGCCGAAATTGTATGTCGTCAAGTAAGTGATATTTGATTTAATTATATTGATGAAACTTTTCTTTTCTTATCGTTACTTTTAATTTTTTTTAAAAAATTGTACACGCTACAAAAAATTATTCGTGTACAATTTTTAACTCCGCCTACTGAAAATTTAAGTAACCGATCCCAAGCCCGAATAAAGGAGGATGATTTATATTTTATCTATATTAAAAAGAAAAATAAAAAAAATGAAACTTTCATTTTTATTTTTTCTCTCTCTTTTAGTTAAAAAAAATTTACTTTTTTATTTTTCAAATTACCTATTTGTTCCAAAAAAAAAATTGAAAAACGACGTCTACTCCCGAGCCGGGTTGGGCTCGGCCCACAAGCCGTGAGCTCATGAGCCGAGCCGAGCCGAGCTCGCCCTTTTTGGACGAGCCGAGTTCATGCTTTCATGGGCCAAGCCAACTCAGCTCGGCCCATTGACAACCCTTTGTGGATGGGAGGAGACGAATTGCAGATAATGTTTGGGTCTATCTCTACCTTCTCTCTCTTCGACACTACAACCAACGCGAAGGAGATGCGCCAATAGCAGCGTGGGGGGAGGTGACGTTCATAGCAGCATGAAGTTGTAGTTTCGATTTGCAACTTTTGGGGGGTTTTTCGATCTGGTGACGATGGGGATCTCTAGCTGCTGTGGTGTACTCTTATTGTTCGATCACTATCATTGCTGGCGGTTGGGTGACTTGCATGGCTTAGCGTGGTGGCTAGTATTGAGGTATTTTAGTTAGATTTTTCGATTTTTGGAGTGGTGGTGATTTTCGTGGTGGTGGGTCTCAGGTTATATGGATTCTGTGATTTATGAAAACACTAAGACATAACAAATGCCAATGTTAGCAACCTTGTTTTTATTTGTCTTTCTATGAGTCACTGATAATGGGAAATGACTGAACTTCTAATTCTCCATTTTTGCCTTCATCAAAGGCTAGTAACATTTTCCTAAAAGGCGATCATTCTGAGGTTGTGATGGTGTTGTGGTCGGGGTAGTGTTTGTGACAAAGTATTATGGTGGATTGGGATCGGGTGTTTGGTGTCTGTGACCAACTATTTGGTCCTCTCTATGACTGACTATTAATTTGTGACTATGAAGTTCTATTATTTTGTGACTAAAAAAGTAATCTGTAACCATCAAATTTGAATATATGCGACGTGACTTATAAATTTTTGGATTTATGACCAATGATATAAACTGTGACCTATAAAATCGATAGATTAAAATTGTGACCTATGATTTTTTGATCTGTCAATTCAAAATAATCTATGACCCATCAAAGTTTTTATTTGTGACCTCGAAATAGTCCGTGACCAATTAATTTGATGATACGTGATCAGTAAATAAATCTATATCCTATAATCGTGAATCGTGATCATTAGTTGTATAACCGTGACTTCATTATCATTATTTAATAAATATTTTTAATTAATAAAATATATATATCTGAATTTTGAATTTTCAAACTATGTACCTGATTTTTAAATTGGTGAAAATAATACACCTGGATTATGAATTCTTCCCTTAGTTTACCATGGTCACGTCAGCCCAATTGGCCAGTATCGACTAGACATGTTTTCACTCCCAAAATTTTTTAAGGATTTTACTATTTGTACATAAACATGGTACACAAACAATTACAAGAAATGATGTGAATAAAAAATATTGGACAAAAAAATTAATTGTATTTTAAAATGGTAAATGGTAGAATGCCATGTAGAGATTCTGTAATCCCTTACGTAAACCTTAATATACATGTAGTATTGTCCAAAAATTAATAATTAATAACTACAAATGTTTAAGAATATAATTTTAGATTTAATAAATTTATAAATTTACATTTGTGTGACTTGTGATAATTGCTGTGACCTATAATTGAAATTAAACAAGTCGTAGTCACATTCTAACAATTTGTGGATCACAGGCCATATTAATTTACAAATTACACAAGATCAAAATCACATAATACACAATTTATAGGTTACAATTACATAGTAAATTATAAGTAATAAAATTAAAAGGTCACAAACCACACAATTAATAAGTCACAATTCATACAATTAACTGCTCATGTTCACTATTCTTCTTACTCCCACTTCATCCCACCACACCACAATCGACAATGACCACGTCATCACCAATCTGCTTCTTTGAATACGCATATTTTCAACGACGGCGAGTAAAAAAGGAATTAAGAAAAGAGTTTTAGTTTAAAAGTTGAATCCCCCAAGATCAAAGTTGAAGTACTCTGCATTCAACGACCAATCAACACGCACAAGGTCTAATTAGAATTCAGATTCATTAGCCAACGATTATTAACATTTTAATCAAAATCATATCATCTTGACATATGATCAGAGTTAACTTCTTTTAGGGCTCCAATTTACCCCAATAAATTCTCGCTCAGAGTTTTTGTGGGTAGGAGACAGGTGGGTGATTGTGTGGGGTGAAATGGGTGGGATGTGGTGGGTACCTGAATTTTTATAAATATATAAATAATAAAATTATTAGTACATACTTTTCGAAATTGAAACTTGAAAAGTAGGATTCTATGTAATTTTCACTTTTGAAAAAAATTGTACATAAGAGCCAGGATCGACTATTAATTCTTTCTTCGTTGAAATGAGAAAACTTGAATTGACATAATACAAATCCCTACATGAGTTCTTCGAAACCTATTATGTCGTGCAAATTGAAGGTTACACTTTTTAATTTTTTTTTTCAAACTCGTTTTTCATCACATATTTTATTTACTTTTATCAAAATCTGCTAAAATTTAATTTTTAATTAAACCAAACAGAGCTAAATATCATGGTATAGGCTCCCAAAAACCTGTCGTCGTCATCATCATCATGATTACTCCTCCAACCTTTATGAAACCTTTTTCAACTCGGATTGCCACATTGGTAATGAGACTCACACCAGCACAATGAATAATCCATTTTACACCTTTAATTTGAAGCAAAGACATAAATTGCACCATCAAGAAAGGATTCGTTTTAATATCTTGGTAATTAATAGAATT